TCAGCTTTCGCACTGTTGCTCTTACATGGTCCCTCGGGAACCCCATGCTGGTGACTTTGTCAATTACATCATCAAGGGGAACCCTGTTCCCTGATCCAGAGGAACCTCCGCCACCAACCCCAGAAGCAGTTGACAGAGCATGAGGTAATATCCGGGCAGTTGGAAGCTGTGGATAACCACTTCCACTACTCTGAGGCAAAGCAGGGGAAGCAAGTTGCTGTGGTTTCATTGTGGGGTTACTACCAAACTGAGGGTGTGCTCCGCCATATGGGAAAGGTTCGCTTGGCCCAGGTTGTGAGCTATATCCAGTAGGAAAACCTGAATTTGATCTACTAGATTGAGACTCATACACGTGAGGAGGAGCCCCATAATACTGTTGGGTGGGTGTGGGTCCACTGGGTGGCTGAGAAGGAGGCTGGCGGAGGCTTGGTGGATAGTTCTGAGAAGGAATATAAGGTGCATCTTCAGGATGATGACCCATTGGAGGCTGAAGTTGAGGCTGCTGGGGCGGCTGAGAGTATTGTGGTTGAGGACCAAGATTATATGGCTGATGAGGTGGTGCAGCAGGACCAAGATTTGGCGGTGCAGCAGGACCCGGATGCGGTGGTGCAGCAGGACCCGGATGCGGTGGTGCAGCAGGAGTCGGATGAGATGGTGCAACGGCGGAAGGCAGTGACTGCTGAGTAGGAGGCAATTGGTATTGTTGTTGATTTGACGCTTCTTGGGCTTGACCAGGGGGCGGGAAATAAGGCTCCCGTTGTGGAACAGGTGGAACCTGACCCTGAGGGAATTGGCTCGGATGCTGAACTGGAGTCGGCAGATTCTGCTGATGAAGCGCTGGAGGAAGAATCATGGGTGCTGGAGGAGGAACGGGAGGATGTGATTGTGGAAAAGATGGGGGAGAAGGAAGTTGCTGGTGGGATTGCAAAGGTGCAGATGCTGCTGGCTGAACAGAATCAATCTGCGTAGTGCTTTCTGTTTCTGGTTGCTGGTCTAACTTGGTCACATGGAGCCTTGCAAGCTGAAATTGAGCCTCCACTATATTTTGTTTATCCTTTAAAACCTGGACCCCTGTTTGCACCTGCATGCATATTATGCCAGATATCAAAGAGCAACATCCCATGATCAACAGGAGTGGCGTGCATCTAAGCTAGCATACATATGTGATGCATTTATAACTAAATATTACTTGACGATTACCATAGAATGAGTGAGGTTATGTGCGATAATGAAAAATCAACATGTTAAGGAGTTGGAATTCATCGCATTAATAAAGTTCAACAACTACTTGCTTTTGTCCATCTTCGTTTGTTTATCAGAGGTATAAAATTCTTAACTTTACAGTATCATCATTATTACTATTATTAATTAAAAAAGTGAATTGTCATAAATAAGATTTTTTATAGTACTTCCATCTATTGGAGGTACAAATATCTTACAAATTTTGGCTACATTTCGTTTCCATTTGACTGTATTTGTCATTATTTTCACTATTAATTGTTACCATTTAGCTATGAATTATTCGAATGTCCATGTTCCTGTAAGCCGATGACAACAAATGATAACCAAAGTAACACCAAACATGATCGAACAACAACAAAATATAACCAAACTGATGAGATACCATTACTCCCAAATAAATGGAAGAACTATAGAATCGCCCAAATATGTATGATTCAAGAAACAAAAAGTCTTATTTTATTTTTAGTTCTATGTTTCTTCCTATTAATATACACAGACTTAGATTTACTTAGAAAAGTTATATACTATAAAAGTTCAAATTATTATTATTTAAGACGAGATATCTTAGAAATGAAGAATATAATAAATAAAAAGCACAAATGTTAAACTCAGGTATCCATCCCAGGACAAGCTTAGACTCTGTTTTTCTGTCCACTGCCCACTACTATATTTAGACAGATCTAAGTAGTTACGTTTTTCACATAAATTATGATAATAGAAAATATATTCTTAGCTGCTGAGATCTGGGCCTGGGACAGCAGTAGAACTTGCAAGTAAGCAGAAAAGATCATCTCTCTCATTTCATTGGCCACTCTGAGCAGCATAGATTTTGAGGGCACTCTCTCTCCTTTTGGTAGCCCTACAGACTAGAGATTATTTGTTTTAAGACTTGAGTACTTTGTTCAGTGATCACTCTCTCAGTTGTAGAGCTGATTTATGGAACCTTGTAGATATTTTACCTTCTTTTTCTGAAGAAAAACAAAATAGATATTTTATCTTCTCTAGGAAAGATGTAAACTTCTCTCGTATAGAAGCTGCATCCCCTTGCTACCTCGCCTGTAATACTTATTTTTTTAAAAAAATCCACAAAAGAGCTTATTGCAACTAAATAAAAATATAGATCAAGACTAGATAAATCAAAAAATATATTTGGAGCTAGCACTACATTTGTATTAAAGATTCAGCCTGCCTCCAATCATCTTCCACTTTAAAGGCAAACTTGTTAGGATGTGAAGTGGCAAACACATGTAAAAAGCATCTCTTGGTTTGTGATGAAAGTACTTCTATTTGGTTTGGATGTTAGTTTGGGCTTCCAAAACACATTATTCTTCTGTCTATCTCCTCATTATAATACAAGATTGATCATTCCAAATTATATCCCCCAAAAAAAAATTAAATAGCTAAGAAGAGTATGAAAAGGTTGTTATTTGTTTCCTGAAGTGCTACCTATCCTTGAAGAGGTGTGATTTTTAGTTGCCTTTCAATCTATAGAGCACTCCTTAACACACTAAGACAATTTACAAGCCTGTTTCTAAACAGGACAAAACAATTTGGTCTATCAGATCGATAGAAATAGATATGCTGTGGGGGCTAAATATCTATCATTACTCTTGTGGAAAAGCATGTTGTTCGAGTGCGCTTATGTATTCAGCTATATTGCAGGCATCTACTTCTACTGAAATCTCAAAGCTGCTTAAAATTTAAAAATGCTATGAGGAGAAAGATTGATAGCAAATATACCTCTCTGAGGATGTTTTCCATCTGTCTCATTTTCCCATCCGTACTTCCATAATTATTTCCAACAGAGACCTTCAAATCATCCACTGAAACCTCAAGGTTGCGAGTTCTGGTCTCTAGCTGTGTCAGACGTGCACTGACACCTTCCATGGCATGAAGCAAATTGTCAGTGTGCTTCTTCATCACTCTATCAATCTCAGAGACTATTGCTGTGTCAGAGACACTTCGGTCCTTCTCCAGAATGAGTTTTGCAGGTTCTATAGAGTCCAGAGATCCATAATTCTGTGAAGAACATATAAGGTAATTTTATATAAATTCAGCCTCCACCATACTGAACAATGCTTGAATTGTAATAATTATAGTGCTAAATCCACCAAAAATTAGGCTATGATCGAGACAAGTCCAGTATATTGGTCGAATTTATTAGACATTCAAACTAGTTTAACTAGGAAGGATATAATTTTGTTATATAACAAATAAAAATTGAGTTCATATAAAATTCAAAGTAATTAGAACGATGTTGTACTCCAATTTCCTTTTAAGTTTCCTAGAACTCAAGTTTTATAATTTTAGATAAACCTTTCACTATCCCCTTATAAAATTAACTGGGCATTTCCACTACGAATTCTACATAAATTCTAAGTTCGTTTCAAACATAGCCTCATTGAAATTGTAGCATAATACAAGTTCTTATATATAGCCACCAAATCCATGAAACTAGCAAATCAACTAAAGACACAGAAAGATCAAAAAGACACATAAAGATCGCAGCACTCGCTTCCATATTCCATCTATACAAAACTCAATCAAGCAGCACAGTATAATGAAAGCATAATCTCTTCACTTTCCCAAATAAAAACCCCATAAGAAAGATAAAAAAGACACATAAAGATCGCAGCACTCGCTTCTGTATTCCATCTATACAAAACTCCATCAAGCAGCACAGCATAATCGAAGCCTAATCTCTTCACTTTCCCAAATAAAAACCCCCATATAAGCTAATCATCACATACAGAAAAAAAAAACAAGAACCCTGATACAACAATTGAAATATAACTATACACAAAGATAGTAAGAGAGATAAAAGGGTTCTACTCTGACAGGCGAAGCAGAATTTGGCTTCGAATCAGCAGAGTTCCAAACCCTAGGACTATTGACAGATCCGGCAAGATTCGTAGCCGACTGAGACAAGCCACTGATTGGACGAATCGGCTGGAAATCGTAGCTGGGCATGATCTCTTCTTTCTGACTATCAAATCCATTATCACCAGCACCGTCATCAATCACACCACTCCGTTGCCTCTGATGATTTTCTTCCTGTGGCAAGTTCATTAGATCGATGAAATCCTTGCCGTTGTGAGACGAAGAAGATAATGAGGATGACGATAAATCCATTATCTGCTTGTCCATAAAGTGCGACGTATTCATCGATTTAAGAGAAATATTGGAATATTTCCTTATTCTTCTTCTTGGGTTTTTGGAATTTCAGGGGGGGTTTTGGAGTTGATTAGATTTATTTTTCCAGGAAATGATCTCGAAAGAGACAAATTCGATTAACTTTTTTTTTGCAAGAAAAAAGAACCGCGTCTGATTAAACTCTTCTGGTTTTCCTTTCTGTGTCCTGACGAAAAAATAAGGGCCTGTTTGGGAGTGAGGATTTTATGGCAGCAAGCTGGATACCGAAGAGCATAATTATAATTCACTTTTCTTTACAAAATCACAAGCAACAGGCAATAGATTAATCTGATAGATATTTTATTAAATTAATATTATATATTATATTTTTAATTTTAAAAAATAATTAATAAATTATTTGCAAATTTTATATATTATGATTGAATTATAAATAATTTTGTACATTATAACTTATTTGCTGCATGTAATTAATGATATATAATATACTTTTATTTAAAAAATTTGGGCCCAATAAGTCAGATATTTCTAGGCTGTATTTTTTCAAGGCCCAAAAGTATTTTATTTAAATTAAAAAATATATATAGTTGGGTTTAACTATTTAATATTATCAAGTTTATTTTTCCCATTTTATATAAAATTATTGATTTTTAAGATCTTATCTTATAACTCTCATTTGTTTTTTCTCACAATTTGGATTAATTTAATTTTAAATTTTTATATATTCGTATTTAAAATTCCATACACATAAATAATAATAATTTAAAATTAACATAGTTATTAGCTTTGAAAAATTACAGGAAGGTTGGAGATCTAATTGTAATAAAAATATGTTTACGATTAAATTAAAAAATAAATTAAATTTTAGCGATTAATATAATAATTTATAAGAATAAAAATACAAAATATTATATTAAACGAATCAAATCAATGGATAAAGCACGCTGCTTTGTAAATAACAACAAAGTTCATGAATCCATCAAATAAAAAGTAGTTAATTCTCTTATGAAAAGTAATTATTTTATGTACATGAAAGAAGCTAAGTAATTATATTATATACATGGGAGAATCTATTAACTTGATGCTTAAATCTTAGTATCTTAAAGTAAGTATTTCTTTTTTTACATAAATAAGTGATGTATTTATTAACTTAGTCCAAATTCTAAATGTAAATAGTTAGATTGAACTATATATATATATATATATATATATATTTGATGATTTAATACAACTAACTATTTTAACATGAAATTTATGTTTTGCTACACATAGTCCAAAAAAAGCAAAATGTGAAGAACTACTATTTGGCTAATTCGACCCCAAGCAACGTTATAATAATCAAGATAAAATGAATGGTTGAGGTCGTCCAAAACATGAGATAGAAGAGCATAATAGCTTGAAAGATGATGGGTCAGAACATTAATCTATTACCATATGAATTACACTTTTTGAGAACATGGGTAACTTGGATCTCCTACTTTTGATCTGATAGCTCATTGATATAGGCTTATATGACTTTGAAGATGTAGTTTGGAGACTCTCCACGACATCCCCATTAATCAAAATTTACATAAAGGCTATCTTAATACATGTTAGTTCACAATATCTCAATATGTGGTTTAATTATATTGAATAAGATTTCTGACAACATATTTGAACTTATTTGTAAGAACTTTAGTGGCAATCGTGTAGACAATATTACATAAACTAATAGGTTTAAATTCGACAAAAATCTTAGCATAATATTTTTTTAGGAATGAGTGTGAGAAAACTATTGTTCACATAACTGATATCAATAAAACTATCAAACACACTCCTGATGAAGCTTTTGATATTAGTACACATAGTGTCCCAATACATTTGGTAGAAAAACTTTGTGAAGGATTGTAATGTAACCCTCTTTATTGCGTATTGTTGCTCTCCCTGATAATTCTAAGTAAGGAACAATTCTTAGACTTTGCCTCAAACCCATTTTTACTCTTTATGGTAATTCCACTTGAATTCCCAATTACATGTCCACTGCTCGTCACAAATATTGTCCATTACACTTTATCGAGTACTACCGATATCTTTTTGTAGATGCAATTGAAGACATCCATCTAGGGATACACCAATTTGTATAATTGGTACGTATTTCATCATAGAAAATAATTATCGAGAAATGTAATATTCAAATTCGAAATTCGCCATGAAATTAATTTTAAAATTAAAAAATATATATAAAAATATAATTTTTAAATTTATAAACTTTTATTTAATGTAAAATTAGAAAAAAAAATAGGTAGATGATGAAATTGAAAACAATTTTGCAAAAAAATGGTGAAAATTTGAGTTTTTTGGTATTTTTGAAAGAAAAATTGGAAACTGAATGTCAAAACACAATTAAGAAAAATTACGCCACATAGGACCGCCCAGTCAGCAGCCCCAACGAACTGGAGCGCGCTACGTGACAAGGCACACTGACTCGGTGCCATACAGGAGGTCACGTTGGCAATCTGCGTGCCCGCGATCAGACGATCCGGATGCGTTTTCGCCCGCGTGGACGGTTCAGATTTGTTCCATCGTCAGGCGCAATCGGACGGTCGCGACTAAACGCGATGAAAGACACGAATTCATTCTCTCTTTAAACGCGATCGTATGCTCGAGATCAAAATCGCGATGAATGGTCAAGATTCATTTTTTCTTAAAACATGATCAGACGGTTGAGATCAAATATGATGAACGGTCCAGATTTAAGAGAAACGAATATAAATATCTTGTATCACATCGAACCCAAACCTAGGCGCTAGTCTCCCGCCGTAGAAGAAGAACCAGTAGCAGGATAAGGGAGCCGATCATCGCCAACCACCGCGCTGGAGCCACCTCCGACTACCAAGAAAGGTAAAAATTCTCTTATCCGCTCAGAATTTAACTCTGAATATCCCTATAGCCAAATCGAAGCAAAAGGAACGGCGGATAAGTCAGAAATCACGGGTAAAGCCCGACGCCGCCGCCGCGGGCAAAATCTAAAGTCTCTGATGAGCCCCTTTTCATTTTCCGTTTCGTACAATTTTTTCACCATTGTATTCACCATTTTTTTTCTACAAATTGACCGAAGAAAAATACTCAGCCGCGAAAGTGAGCTAGCGAAGCCACTGCACCAAAAAATCTTAGGGCCGGTAGGTTTTTATTTTTTACTTTTTCTGGCCAACCGAGACCCCCTAACGTATTTTCTCATAGGGATGGGTATAATACCAGTTAAAAATTGTCAGGTCGAGGCAAAGCACCACCGTGGGTGGTAGTGCCGCCCTATTGAAATTTTGAAATTGGCCGAAAAAGATTTTTAACACCGATTTTAAATTATTTAGGTATTTTTAGGTACGTGAAACGTGTTTTAATCTCCACAAAAAAATTCAGAAAACTTGAGGATCGTTAGTAGGCGCAGTAAAAAGTTCGAGTTTCAGACACCGATTCGGGTAAGAATCCTTCACTTATTCTTTGTTATGAAATTGAAGCTTAATAATCAGTAATATGATATGTTTGTAATTTAAAAAACTTTGAAAATAATTATAGGTTACCAATAAAGGTGGAAACCGATTAGTCATTTATTTGTTGTCCTGTTTAACTTATTATTGAATTTATAGTTTTAAATACATGATGATATGACGGAATGATTAACTGATTCATTTTGTTTCCTTGATATATATATATTGCTTGTCTTACGTGATTTATGGTTGATTTGTGAAATTGGTAATTAATATGCAAACGAAAAATTGATTGATCATGTGAACTAATGAATGATAGCCTTACTGGATATCCTGGGAGATAGTAGACAAATTGTGTACATAGGGAACCCTACCGTACGTTGTCTCATATCGAACGGGTTATCGAGGATTAGTATTTTTGGCGCTCATACCAAACAGGATATAAGGACGGTCCGTTTCACCTTCATACCAGATGAGGTATTGAGGGATGATATTTTTAGTGCTCATACCGTATAGGGTATGGAGACGGCCGGTTAGTTGACAATGTTGAATATTGGTTCACGCGTAGTGGAACATCCCTATGAACCTTCAAGAATACTAGTAGGTAAATAAAAAGGAAAAGTTACTATTCTTACTCACTTGAATATAAAATTAGAATGTTATTTGAGTTATTATCCCTATAGGTTGATTTTGAAAATCTTGAAAATGGTAAATATATACAATAAATGGTTTTCTTTATGATAAATGAATTTTCTTAAATCAAGAACTTCATTGGTTATTTTTATAATTTTTAACAATCTTCAGTTTCTGTATCGTTAAGTAGTGTTATATTCTTATTGGGGTAGTCTAGCTCACCCTTTCATAAACTATTTTAGATCAAGAGGAACAAAACCCATATCACAATCAACAAGAGGGTTGTGAAATGTTCACCACTCGGGTTCCCTTCAAAAGTTAGTGAAAGTCGTCTTAGAATGCTCAGCATATTACCTTTTATTTATTTTCTTAATTTTGTTTGTTCTTTTAGAATGATCGTTCACGTAGTCATATTGAGCATTCTAAATTATTGTGTAAGGAATCTAAACTCTAACTTCTATTATTTCGTTTTCGCATTTAATTTATAATTTTCTTTTCTTTTAAGTTACAAACCTTTACAAGAAAGATGCAGATATAGTCAAATGGGAGGTATCGAGGAGCTTAATGTGGAAGATGGTGAAATAGAGGAAGGTAGTCAATTTGTGGTAACTTATGGTTGTACTAAGCTAGGTAGTAGATTGTCGAGATCTCTTATTTCTCTGAGTCATGAAGGTGTGAAACATGGGAGAAAAGAAATAGGGATGGAGATGTTACAGAGAGAAAATCGTGAACACACTATTTATTTTTAATTTGGACCAGCTGATGTGTTTTAAGAACAAAGAAAGACATGTTAAATGCCACGTATTCGGACATGTGATATCTTAATTTAAAAATAACCCAACTAAATTATGTCACGTATGCAAGCTTAGTTCACATGGCACCTCCCTCCGCTAATATCATTAATAAACAGAAACTAAATAAAAATATTTTGAAAGTACAAGAATTAAAATAACAAAAAAAAGATAGTACAAAGACAAATTTAAATATTTTAAAATAGTAGATGGACCAAATTAATATTTTAATCTATATAATTATTATAATAATATTCTCAAGTATAAGAATAATAATTACACCATACACTTCATCATTAGCACACTTTCACTTTTTTAGTTAAATTAACCTTATCATTCTCTTTGTTTTTCACTTTTCTTAAAACAAGTACTCAACTAGGGAGAAACCAGAAGGATTGGACCGTGGAACTTGCACTATAACCATTTTCTCTTCAAATCCAAACTCAACTATTTTTCCATCAACCAAACATGCCTTAGGTTTTTTAGAAGCAAAAACCCTCATCTCCCCGCTTCCCCTAACCCCAATCTCAACTGATCCGTTTTTGTAAGTCATTGATTGAATTGCCCCTCCATTGTTAAGCATGTTAATGAGTCCAATGGGTGCAAACTGGATACATTTGGGATCTAATGTGAACACAGGAGAGACTGTTATGAGCTCAAAGTTAAAGGGTTGAAGTGAGATTTGAAGGTTGTCATTGGAATGAGAGAGAACAAGTTTCTTAGCCTCAGATAAGTAGAGAGCAAAAAGGTTGACTTTTTCAACAGAGATTGGAATGTTGACTTCAGGTGTGTCCCACTCGATGTCCTTAGGGCCTATCTTTGTGGTCACTTGGTGAGAAAATTCAGATGCAGATTTGTTCCTTCTGCTCTCTCTGCACCATCCTCCTCCTTGGCAATTGAAAACTCCAATTACACCAGTATACTGTCATAAAATTAAAGAATTTCATATTAGAGAAACTAAAAAATTTTGTTTATTTTTTTGTTTAAAGTATTAAAAAATAATCTAACCATTTTAATTTTTTTCATAATGAAATTAAAAAAAATGAATGTTTGAAATAAGTAGAAAATGTTAGTAACTAAATTATAATGAAAAAATATTATAGAATAAATGATAACATGTATTAAAATTTAGAAACTAATTTAATAATTTGTTCTATAAAATTTAATAGACTATACAATCGTCAAAACAGTACCTTATTGAGATTCCATATCTTGAGCATCGTTTTACCATCGTGGAGAGGATCTTCGAACAAACAATCTTTTGTTGGAAGAGCATAATATTGACATCGAAGAATTGACCCGTCCGGTAATACGAGACGCTTGAGTAACGAAAAATTATGTTTTCCGACAGAATCACTAATGTAAATTGGACCACCGGAGATAGCCCGAGAGGCAGCATGAAACTCGGCACAAGGATGTGTAGATTGGAACATGTCCCAATCTGGATGTATGAAGTTGCCCATCCACAAACTATTATAGGCACAATGGACCATGTGACAACCTTGGAGCCAAAACGCGCCGTTTGGGTCACCGGATGGATCGGTGCACCAAAAATCATCCCCTACTCCATGAAGACAAATTATGAGTTTGTGCATAAAATTGTCATTCTAAATTGGAACTTTTTTAATTAAAATTTGTTTAAAATTATAATTAAATTTATTTCAAAAAATTATAATTTAGTCTCTGTATGAATATTTTTTTTATTGAATATTTTTGAAAAATACTTTGTGTAATAAATAAATGTATTAATTTTAAATAAATTGAGGTATTATTAAATTTTTTTTTTTAAAAAAAAAACAACCTTAAAAAGCGAAAGAAAACATACCGACACGACCAAGAGAAATGGCTTCTGTTCCAAGAAACATGAAATCGTTGCAGTGCTCCATGCTGGCAATTACCCCGTTCCCTTTAAAATGCTTTCTTACGGAAGCCGTCAAAGCCTTGTAATACGCCTTTGCAAGTTCAACTCTGCCTCCGTAATTTTCGCATAACATCTCCAGTAACTAATATTATTAAAAAATTATATATTAATTTTTTTTTAATAAAAAAATAGCTTAATAATTTAATAATAATATAAATTTAAATTAAATAGAGAATTAATACAATCCTGACAAAAGCGAATCTCATATTTGCAAGTCTACATATAAATAATAATATTTAAATATCATACACGGTATACAATACGCACCGTTTTAAAATTTTGATAAATACTTTGCAATTAAAAAACGTGGTATAATAGTTTCTGGAGAAAAAAAAAAAAAAGAAAACTTATGAAATCAACACGTACAGGTAACGTGCCGACCAAAGATTAAATCAAATAAAATAAAAAAATTAAATCAAATTCTTCATTTAAAAAATCAAATTTAGTTAGAATAGATTACTTATGTTAAACTTATAAAATTTTTAAAACATATTTAAATTTGCTACCTAAAAAATTACTTTGAAGTATTCCATAGACCCAATTAAATTTTTTTTTTTTTAATTTTTCAAATAATTTTTTAAAAAATGAGAAAACTTAGAACATTATTTTAAAAAATATATATGTATATATAATGATCTCTACATAAAAATTCCTATCTATAAGATAAGAAAGATATAAATGAGACTGGATCCTACGTGAGTATAAGCCCACCTACTCCTGGCACTTGCTTAAATTCAAACTGACATTATTCAATAAATAAACAAATTGTATCCACAAAATTTAATGACCAATAAAATTTCAAATTTTAAAAACAATACTCTTTAATTATACCCACCGAAATTAATTTTTTTTAATAAATTAATTATATACCCTTTTAAAATATATGAATTTCTCAATTATTTTTTAAAATAAATAAATAAATAACTTTATTTTATAAAGTAAAATATAAAGATCAGTAGGTATGGTGATTCGGTGTCGCTAAAAGCTTTCGTGGATGACATCATCAATCTCGACCTTTTTCCAGATGCGGTTTAACTCACCTATCGTAGTATCAAGAGTCTCAATTTTAAACTTATTTTTAATTTTTTAAAATTAAAAATATTTTATTAAAAAAATATAATAAAATAAAAATATTGTATAGAATAAAGTTTTTCTTCAAAAATTTATATTATAAAAATACAATCAAACTGACATTATTCAATAAATGCATAAACTGTATCCCACAAAATTTAATGAACAACAAAGTTTTAAATGCAAGTAATAACTTTATATTTATATCTACCGAAATTAAAAATTTTAATAAATTAATTATATACCTTTTAAAAATATGATTTTTTTTTTTTTAATATAAGAACCAGAAATTTTAAGTATTTTTTGAGGGGAATAAAACAAATTTTAATAAAATATAATGAATATAGTGATACGGTGCGGGTTAAAGGCTTACGTGGATGACGTCCACTTTGACACCGTCAATCCCAACGTTTTCCAAATGCGAGTGCAGTCCTTCGTACAACTGATCGGCCATCTCCGGGTGGACAAGCCCAATGCCGGTACTAACGATCTTATCGACGGCGAGATCTTCCATCGTCATCTCCAATCCCGGCGACAGCTTCGGCCGTACCACGACGGATTCCGGCAAACCAGGCACGTTCGGTCGGAGTCCACCCCAGTAGCCACAAAGCGCGTGCCAAACATAAACGTACTCGACGCTCTTGAACTCCTCCTTGAGGTCCTTGATAAATGCACCCATGCCTTTTTTAGGAGTTTCGCCGGCGGTGGATAAGCTTTTAGCGCTGACGTAATCCCGGAACTTGTAGTTCTCTTGAAATTTGAGTAATCTGCAGGGCATTTGTTCGCCGGCGACGGTGTGGTTCATGCCTTCTTTCGTGATGGGATCCTCATCGTGGCTGATGGACTGCCATCCGTCATCGATTAACACGTGTCCAGGTGGACACCCACCATCGACTAGTCCTTTAACGCCGTCTCTTATGCCCCGCGGGTGCACCGTAAGGTAAAATGCGTCCCACGTGCACCAACCAAATTTGTCCACGACACCAGGTGGCGTCTTCTCCTCTAAAAGCTTGAAGGTTCCCAAGTGAATTCTAACGACTTTCATGGCTTCTTTGATTAGATAAAACGGGTCGGATCCAGAATGGATATAAACAACACTCTGGAAACTGGAAGCGGTCACTTTCGTTGACCCGCTCTCGACGCAGACGTCGACGTCGTCGTTTTGGCCGGGCTGAAAGGAGGCGCGAAAGGGTCCTTCGAGGAGTGGGAGGAGGAGCACGTAGGGTCGGCCCGACCCGGATTTATCGAGAATGACCATCTGGGTCTCGTGCTCGAGATCGCTGCCTCTGGTGCCGACCCAATGGGTGGTCCACCAGACCTTGAACCTGAAGATGCTCATGAACTTAATGTTCCTCAGCTTGCCGATGGGTGCAACGTGGCGGCTGCTGGCCTCCGCCGCGTCGAAACCCAAGAAGGATCCGACGGTGGAAACGGGTTTTTCTTTGTCTGCAACTTTAATGGTGGTGCAAGGTGATGGGGTGAGAGTAATGTTATCAGGGATGTGGGTGAGGAAGACATGGCCGTTGGCTTTGAGGTTTGATTCTTCGAGAGTAATGGAGGAATTACAGCCGTCGACCAGGTCTGCAACACCTGCCTCTTTCTTGCTTAAGCTTGGCGCCATTGAAGTGGATCAAGTAGTTTAGTTTTGAAATATAAAAAGCAGAGAGAGCTGATTTAATGGAGGAGGAATAGAAGGGTTGTGTTGTGAGAGACAAGGATTTTAATTGTTCGATGTGGGAGACAAAGATCTTGAGGTTAGATTGTTGTGTCATGATGAAGAAGGTGGGAGGTGGGTGTATTTATAGGCTTATGGCGCCATGAAATGGAACGTTTGAGACGCAGGTGAAATACCGAAGTGGGATATTTCCTTTTACAAATTAAATATATATATATATATTTTTTGTTATTAGCGAAATTTACAAAATTACCCTTCAACTAATTTCTTATTTTTATTTTACTACAAATTTACTACATCAAAAATTCACACTAATCATTTAATAAGCATACTACAAGCACTTTATTCTATTAGTTAAAATTATTATTCTCTATTTAAAGGTTATAAATGCATTAATTCAGTAAAAAAAATATATTTTAGTACGTACTAGGTTTTATTAATTAAATTAATATCCAAAGTTTTATGAAAATCTGAGTTCCTTGTAGTTTGGGGTGAATTTATTTAATTTAACATGATTTTAATTCTGTTAAATCTTTTAAAAAAATATATAAACACTGATATGATATACGCATATTAAATAATTAATTAATTAAAATAAAAGATTAACTAATTAATTAATTAGTCAAAGAGTGATGATTTTTTTTTTAATATTATTAATAATAAGCTTTTACTTTTCCGTATGAGATTATGCATGATTTCAGGAGACCAAAAGTCTCGATAACGTTTGGGCATCTAAAAAGGACGATAAACATTATCCAATTAGATTTTCAGGTTTGACTTGGGAAATTGAAACGCCGACGTTTTAAACATTATTATTTTTTTTACTTTTTTTAAAAAAAATTAGAAAATAATCAATATTTTTTTTTCTGGATAATTTAAATTTAATTATTTATATAAAATGAATACTGAAAGTTGAGGGGTGTTAATTTTTTAATTTTTGAAATATTTTTAAAAATCAAAATTAATATAAGAATATACTTAAATTTTACTCGTAGTTAATTATTATAAATAACCCAATTATATAATTTAGTAAAACGATCTTATTTTATTTTAATTAAAAAATATTCACTCACATGTTACTGCCATTCATATAATATAATTTAATGTGTATGATACTTTTTAAAAGCATTAAATATTTTAATAGAAGAATAATTTATTTCAGTTCAACAACTTCATATCTAAAATAACATCTACAATATTATAACACACACACACATATATATATATATATATTATGTCTATACTTTTTAACCGAAGCATGTATGGTAGATTAATATACTATTAAACCATCATTAAAATAAACTAAAATTATATCAAATAAAAAGAAAATCAAATTATAGTTTGCCCCAAACGTTATGCAACATTAGAATTGAATTTCAAACATTTCCAATTTCCTAAACCGACTTGCATTGATCACGAATTGAATGTTGGGGGGGTCCAAGTTTTGTCATTTCAAATTATACACACATACATACATACATACATAGCTACGTACATGCATATATATATATATATACACAGACACACCTACACATCCATAAGTTAATGTAGATACTGTATTGATCCCTCGAGTTCATGGATTCTGATAACTCAAAAAAGAATATGATGAAGAATCATTTGGCATGCGGACAAGAAATTGATAATCCATGAAAAATTCTATACACGTATGTAGGGTTTTATCAATTCTGAATTTCGTAGGTATTTGAAATTTCTTATCTTTTTTATCCTAAAGCTAACTTTTTTATACTTTTTCCACTATTTTGTTCTTTTCTATAATTAAATATTTATTTTTAAAACTTTTTTTCAACATCTATAGAATGGTTCAATTTTTTTTGTTGTTTGAGATGCTATTACGTATAGAGTTGTTCGTTAATATAACAATGAGCTAAATTGGATTAAACAGGATCAAATTAAATTTTTTTGATCGTAGTAATTTTAAATTTATTAAATTAAAATTTTTAATCGCAGCATGATTAAATTGGTTTAGATTAGTTCAATCTAATTCGAACCAAGTTAATAATATATGTTATGAGATTTGTAAGTCACGGTCAAAATAATTTTTAAAATATATATCTAGTAAAAATTATATTAGAAATAGGAAAATATTTAGTAGTAGTTTGAAAAATAATCTATTAGAACTCTTTGGAACATTTATATATGTATTTTTGTAAAGTAAACGATTATGAATTCTACTTCTAACAAGAAAAGAAAAGTGGTGTATTAGAATTAGATTTATTTGCTGATTAAATTATTTGTGATAACTATTATATATATATATATGTATTTGCTAATTATATCATTTGTAATTACTATTTTATATATATATATGTAAAGTTTAATGGTAAAATATATTTATAATAAAAAATAATTATTTAAGAATATTTATGTTAATTACTTTGTTTCATAAAAAATAAAATAAAATGCAAAAAGAATGTCAATATAAGTTATTACTAAGTGGAACACCTTTGGATTTATGGCATAACTTTATTAATTTTTTTATTCTATTTGTAAATATTTGAATTAATTTTCCAAAAAGTATGTATTAAAAATATTACAAACAATAATTAGAACCTTTTATTCAATTAAACTAAATTATGTGTATACACACACACACACACACATATATATATATATATATATATATATATTATAGGCACTCTTACATGTATATCTTAAGTTAAAAGAAGTTAAAAATTAATACATATCAGTATAATAATTAAAACTTTTATATTTTACTTGTGTCATATATTCAAATTTTATTAATACGATACAGTTTCATATTTTATGAGTTTATTATAAGATAGATAATTTATAATATATTATTCAATTAATTTATTTATTTATTTATAAGTATATGAATTTTGATTTAAAACATACCAAATTTTAAATGTGTTTGGCTCGAATCTCCTATAAAGTTACATATATTCCATTCATAAAAAAGTCATAATATTCCAAAAACAAAACTTATATATACAATTGTATTGCCGTATACATTTTTGATTCTTTATTATTATTATTATTATTATTATTATTATTTTAAACTTTATATTTATTTTTAGACACTTTGCTTTGCTTATGTAAGCAAGTAAGTATACTACCATTGCTACAATGAGACAATCAACTAACCTCACCTAATTCACCAAAAGAAAATATATACACATTATATATAACAGAGATATAACTAATTCGGCTTAAATAATTATAGTTACTTGATTTATTTTTATTATTTTTTATATTTTATTATTATATTTATTTATCGATAATACACTATCTTATATTAAAAATGTAAGTATAGGTATACAAATTCATTAGGATAATACGGGACAAGCAGTTTTCCCGTGAACTAATTTTTTATTCAATCTATAATTTAAAATCAATGGGAAATATTTTTATAAATTGAAAATTCTCTTAATTTTACTAAGTCTAAATTACAAAAAATTATTTTGTATATCCAGATAAAGTTCAACAAATAAATAAATTTTAAAAGAGTGATGTTTATACAATGATAAATAATGAATTACGTGCTTAAGTATTTTTAGATATAAAAAAAAAAAGTGTTCATATTTGGATACTAATTTATTATTTATATTTCAATAATCAAATAAGTCAATTTTTTTAATAAATTATCAAATTAGTTATGGAGATGCAGTACTTATTATAATTTTTGTTTTAATATTTTATTTATTATAATTTAATAAACGATTTCTTTTAATTATTTAAAAAAATTATTTTTTAAAAATATTTTTTAATAAAAAATAAAATTATTATTTTGTATTGAAATACTTTAAAAATAATTCAAAAAATATAATGTTAACTAATAATTAAATTAACAAATCATTAGTAATTTATTAGTTTATTAATTAATTAAAATTATTAATTTTTAAAATATACAGATATAATTGATTATTTTAACTTTTTATTAAAAAATTATAAAAAAAAATTAGGCATTTGAAAAAAATGTTAAGAAATAAACTATAATGAAAAATTAAACGTCATGAATTAATTTATAATTACCTTTATTTTTATGAAAGTATAATATTCTGGTTTTTCATCAATATATACATATATATTTTTCTTCAGAAAAAAAAAAGTTAAATTAAGAAGAAAACTTCTAGCAGACTTGATGCATGAAAGAATATTCTGATTCAAAGCGTGTGGGGTTTAGAGGAATTGTGGAACTTATTCAACTGTCCCCATTTATCTATGTTGTCCAACTTCTTAAATTACTTTATTTTAAATAAAAACAATATTTAAAATAAACAAAATTATTTATTTATATAAATGGAGAAAATTAGTCAATCAAGCACCGACTTTTTGCCACCTGTTATTCTCACAGGCAGTCAGTCACCGACTAAAAAAAAAAAAAAAACAGTTTAGGTGAAAAGTGAGATTGTCATAATGCGACACCTGGATAACTTCTCATGTAAGAAAATCGATGTGGAAGTTGGGGATACCAAGTTGTAGTTTTCACATGACTTGCTCCTACCCGTAACCCGGACTACGTAGAAAATGGATAATTCAACTGGGGAGGGACTCGTGAGTCGATCTGGGAATTCGCCACGTTGGGTTTGAAATGGCGGCTGTTTGGACGCTGTCAGTGTGTTGTCCCGAACAAGGATAATCTGGATGCTCATACTTTTTCCGTAGTGGATCACGCGTACGCTCGTACTGTCAATTGTTCTTGAGGATAGCAAAGAACATGACATGACTCTTTTTTTTTTTTTTTTGTGGAGTTTGTAAATTATTTAAAGAACTTAAAGAAATCAGTCAGTATGCTGATATTAACTTATAAATTAGGTCTAAGATTCAATTTTCTTTTTAACAAAATCAAGAAAATTTTATTTAAGAATGCCCGAGATAACTACTAAATAATAACAACAATAATAATAATATAAAGAGAATGACTCCCCATTCTTTTTTTTTTTCTTTTCCTCTTGAATTAGAATTAAATTAGATTCTAAATCCATTATGTATTATTTCACATAGTTTTACTCTCACAAAAAAAAAATATAATAAATTTATTATAATATAATCACCGCAATCATACTAATATATTAATAAATTAAATATTTAATTTTATTAAATTAAATATTATAAATTAATTACTGTTTGTTTATAATATATTAATAAAATAATAAAATTTAAATTTATGAAACTTTAAATAAAATATAAAAATCTTAATTAATTATCCACTGTATCATTCGCCTCATGCCCATTTCTTCACTCCTTTCCAGCCGATGCATTAAAAAACATTTGATTGAAACAATACTCTGTTTTATTACATGTTTACGCTTTAAAGTATAAGTGGTTTGTTTCAACTATAAATGGGCGTTAATACGTACACAGAATATCAAGCAAAACTGTTTCTAAGTTAAATCTCTCTGATAATTAAAATATTAATCGCATACCATTTGATTAAATATTGATCCTATGTCACTTACCAACCCTCTCAGAAGTTAAGAGCTAAAGCAATTCTTAAAATTAACAATATCAGTCTTTCTTTTTTTTCTTTTTAAATACATCTTGAGAAAGCAACAATTATTTTTTATTTTATTATTTATTTCAAAAAATGGAAGAGAAAACAATACATTATACTTCCTTTTGTATCCCTAATTTACAACTCTACATTGCATTGCCCAGCAACAGATAGATATAAGAGTGTCTTCATCTAGGTTAAGACTAACGTATCCTACTACAAAATACTAACACTTACCAAAGGTACCGTATACTTTGACATTGTTAGAGTTTACTAGTATCTTCACCGTGAGCACCAAGGACAGACTGTCAAAACAGAAGTATGAGCCAAAATGAATAGAATATTAAACAAATTTATATAGAATATTATTGAGAAGAGCATGGCATCACTGTTATTGCTCCCTTAGGCTGTTCTTGACAAATCAATTTTGTCGACAGAAATTATTTTGAAATCTAGATATTTAAAATGAAGAATGATGAAATTTTATTGAAAATGATAAAGTTAACATTCTAAAGAACTTTTAGGGGAAACTGTATTTAATCTTACAGAATTTAAGAAATACTGTTCCAACTTTACTAGAAAAGAGTTTGTAGTTTTTAGCTAAAAATCCTTGTTTTCTCTACCTCTAATGCAATCAGCACAAAAGCCATAAAATATTAGAAGGTTAGTTACCATTTTAAGAAGACGAAGTGCAGCAGGCCGTGTGAACTTTCTTGCAAAAAGAAAGCAAGGGGATGGTTTTCCTTTGCTGCTACACCATTCTCTTCGGTTTTCAGTCTCGTAATGGATATTATCAATTCCCTGCAAAAAGACAACTTTTAACTTCTTTTCTTGACTTAAAATTTTGAACCTTTTGATGTCATATACAATTATTTCCAGTGCATTGCCAAATGCATCAATAATTGGATCAGGTCATTCATGTCCACGATGAGTCAATCTAATACAAATCTCTATCCAACTGCTCCATGCAGCTATAGCTTTTGAACCTATCCATGAGAGGCAGGTCTAACTACCTGAAAAGATATGCTTTCTTGAAAAAAAAAAAAAGGAACTCTAAGATTATGTTTGAAACAAATTAACAAATTTTCTAAATTATTTGCTAATTTATGCTTAATTTAACTAACAAAGGATGGAAATCCTATCCAAAATGATAATTGACCTCCTAGAAAATTCCACTTGAAATTCTTATATTAACAGGAACGAAAATATAGATGTTCTTATCATTTCTATATTGACAAAGAGAAATCCAAAACCTACCAATATGGAACTGATAAGATGAATGGAATTGATTTAATTATTCATTAAATATATAAACCATGACAAATTTTTTTTATATCAAATAATTAATACAAAAATTGAATGGGAAAATAATAGACAATGGAATGCAAAATAAGAGTTTATAATCTCTTAGTTCAACCATGTTTGAATTTCCAAACAAATTCCACAAAAGCTATTGATTTATAAGTTTGTTTAAAATAAGATGCATGAAAGTACAGAAGAAAACACAATCTGTCATCCTATACCAAAGACAAAACTTTATCAATCTCACTTAAAATTCTAAAACTATAGGGCATTTTAAACACTGGTTCACAGTAGCTTTCCCATAACTAAGTGGTCCTGTCACCAAAAAAGACTCTGAAGATAAGGTATTTAATACATTTCCTGAATTATATTAAATTCATTTTAGTTCCTTAACAGTGCTACTCAAAAAAGAAATAATTATTCCTTCACATGTTTTTATGTTTTGGAGCATAAACCCCAGAAACAAGGTGGACAAAAATACTTTCATCTTCCTTTATCTACCAGAGGAATCACTCACTTTCACCTCCAAATAAAGAATCCAAACTATGCAAGAATCCAAGCACTAGACCCCTAACTCTAAAATCATCTTGAATAATTGATTGAACCAATTTCTTCCAAAATCTTAAATTTATAGTTAATGGTTATACCAATTAATAATACAATAAACACAAATATCTCAAAGATGAGCAAGACACCTTAAACTCTCCCACATCTTGATACACAAAAAGTTAAAGGAAACAAGGAGCAGGAAACATCTGTACCTTTATAGATTGGATAAGTTCTGGAGTTGCATCAGCAAATTTATAAGTAACAGGGTGCCATCCTCGACGTTCAGGCTCTTTGGAGGCTGATAGATCCCATGAAGAGTATGTCAGTGACCTCCTTGTGATTTCCCCTTCGAGATTTTTTAGCTGAATTTGAAAAGAGAAAGATTTCAGAGGTTGATATTACATGGTAAATTCTGAAAAAGTTGTTTGGTATTTTTTATTGCTCTTCCTACCTTCTATGCCTCAAGCAAATTCTCATGTACCATAATTTCAGAATGAAGAGTGCAGGAAGCTTCAGAAAGGGAAAAGAGAGAGGGAGAAAGGGACACTATTGGACTGGCCTTGAAACACAAATGGTAGATTATCAATGTCACTTCTATTAGTTTGCATTATCTAAGGAATTGAGAGATAAAAGAACTTAATAATCTAGAACAGATTTATACAACTGGAATTCTAGTTCAAACCTAAATCTTCCAAGAAAATGCTTTTAGTAATTGAATTATTCTGCTCAACAAATGGTTTTCAATTCATAATAGATTGATACGGAGTCTGTGACTGAAGAAACTGAACTCTGTCAGGACTACTGGTCAAGTCTCTTGCATCCCTGATAGAAATCCAGGTTAATAATAGTCCACAAGCTCGCAGAGCCAGCATAAAGGGGATTAACAATAAAATTATGTTTATAATGCATAACAGAAAACTAGCTACATGCTTATACTGAGTTCATTGGGCTACTTAGGCCTTTCATTCACTCGTTTTACCATAGAAAACAATTTGGCAATAAAGAACTAAAATCCTCCAGCTTTACTTTTGCAGTTTCCAACACCACAACATATTAGTTTGTAGTTAAAGGAAATGGACATCCACTAGATTTGCCAAGTTGCAAGAGTTATTCAAAACATACTTTTAACTTTTAGAACTTACACTAGCTACCAACCTTATATAAAAAGAATTATGACAAAATTTTAAACCTTCAGAACAAGATAGCTGCACTCCAATGGAAAAACAACAGCATTGTTTCCAAAAGCCATCTTTATGACAAAAGAATTTTGAATTGTGATGCTGAACATGTCATTCTGTCAGGTTCTTATTGGAAAGTGAAGTTTCCATATGGAAGGTGAGACAACTAATTGCAGCAGTTTTTTCCATACATAAAAGATTAGAAATCCTCTAAAGACAAAACTTTATCAAATAAGATAGTGCTGAATTATAAGCAATCATCTTACCGCCAGTAATGTCTGGACATAATGTTCATCAGGTATGCAATTATGCTCTTTGGCTGCATCAACTGGCTGCTCGATACAAAAAGATAAAGAGCATGATAATAAAAGAATAAAATCATCAAACAAATTCCAGAAACTCACAATTGAGAAACTAAAAGCTATTAGGGGTCTTGTAGACGAACTAGCTCTGTCAATGAATTCTCATGACATTATAGTAGAGCTTGGATTCTAGCCAAATTAGAAAGCTTTCCTTTTATGATTTTTCAGTGGTTGGTTGTGGAAGGGCATCTTAGGAGAGGAGAAGAGTTAACTGTGCAGTGGTTCGAAGCATGATTAATCAAAAATTACTTACAAGGGGATGATCACGCCAGAACTCTGGTAAGGATCTTCTCTGCATAATCATCAAAGCATAATAAATCATCTACAAGCTATAAAATTTACCAAAATTATCAATGTAATAAAATTTCAAATTAATTTTAGTGGCAACTAATAACCATTGCAGCAGACAATTGCTTTGGATTGTTTCTGAGAATGTATGCTTAGTGAGAATCATATTTCTGTTTTTTTTTTTTAATTGGCCCCATAAGGCATGTTATGGGAGAAGAAGAACTGATATTTAGCTCCAGAAAGGAGACTTTGCCACCAAGTCACAAAGGTTTTGACACATCATGTTTTTATTTTAAATGCTCAATATTATAACATCCTTAGGAAGAGCCACACAGAAAAATGGTAGTTAGAAAATA